TTTTTTTTTTGGTATCGGGGATTGAACTCAGGACCTTGGGCTTTCAAGGCAAGCCGTGGAACCACTGAGCTAAATCCTTGGTCCTGAAGTAATAGTTTTGAAATGTGGTAAATGCAAACACACTCCAATAACACAGGGAACTAAGCTTCTCTGAGACTTTTCCTGAATGGCAATATGCCACAATAAACGTGATAGACCGGATTGTGAAATTGCTAATAAAATTCACTTGATATCTCTGTGAACGTATTTGGAAAGATACTAGGTCTTACGAAGCCTGGGTTTTGTAGTGTAGAGAATTTCTGTATCCTTCCTATATCATGAAAGTGGCTTTAGGATGACTAGTCACCGTTACAAGGGAGAAAGACTGGTACTGAATGGTCTATTTCTTTTCCTTCTTATAAGGACGACTTCTTACCATCCTTAGATTTGCCCAAGTTTTTCTAAAGCTTCTGGATAATTTAGTTGTTCAGATTAGCTGTTATCGCAACATTATCATTCACATCTCAAAGACATATTGTGCTCCTATCATTTGAAACAAGCCCTTTAATTAATATATCTAACACACAGCTACTGACTTTGATTCTAGCTCCTGCCTTCAGCAATTCCTTGATGCCAAAAAATTTTTAATTACCATGTTTATGGTTATTGCATTAGAAAAATAATATATTAGAGTGGAAATCCAACTCTGGCAATTTCATAGTCAATTTTTTTTTTTTTTTGTACCAGGGATCGAACTCGGGTCCTTGCGTTTGCGCAGCACGCAGCCAATCCACTGAACTAAATCCCCGGCCCCATAGTCAATTATTTTAAGGGATAATATTCTAAAATACTCAATAATGCTCAGAAAGTATTTGTACTTGATTTTATTTGCTCAAAATCTAAAACGTATTTATTCTAATTCCATTAGCCAATCAAGGCAGAAATTCAAGCAAAGGCAATGCAAACACTTTTTTCCTTTGAAGAGTCTTTTTCCCATACAAAGCAACTATCCCAAAGTTTTCCAATAGCTTTATTTATTTAATTTATTTACTTATTCATTCTTTTTTTGGCTTTTTGAGACAGGGCCTTGCTACGTAGCACAGGCTGGTCTCAAACTTGTGGCAATCCTTCTGCCTCAGCCTCCTGAGTGCTGGTATTATTGGCATGCGCCACCACGCCCAGTTCCAATAGCTTTTAGTAGCAGAAAATTAATGATATGTCATGTGTCTGTAAGAGTATGTACTCCTAACAC